GACCTAATCGTATACTCACGATTTCGATCAGCCCACTATGGCCAAGACATTCAACCATCTCAGACAGGCCCTCCACCTTGGTGCTTCCCTTCAGGCCCATCATCTCAGCCGCACCAGCGAAAGCCACTTCGATGGGGGTGCGGAAATTCTTGTCATAGGCCACCTCCTCAGAGTACTTCCCGATAGGCACGAACTTGAACATGCTACCACCATTGTTATTGCACACCACGATCTTCACCGGGGGTATTCTGACCTCCCCGACCATACCCCCACCATTCAAGTAGTTGGCCAATCTGAGAGCAAAGCTTCGCCCCAGTTGTACCAGTTTGACAAGCGCCTACTGGACAACCGAATTGAGGTCGTGAATGGCCGCAACATCTCCAATAAGGAGATTTGTCGAGAGCCCACACCCTACAGCGTATCCTATGGTCGTGCCTGAAGGATACGAATATGGCCCATCATTCAAACTGCCAATCTTACTGATAGTTCCGTCAATACCACTCACTCCCCTACTGCAGGAAGATCGGGGTATATTGGTCCTTAGAGGGCACTGACCAATAGCAACGTCTAGATCACCGCTCGATACCACGCTGGTACTTACGAAGGTATCAAAGTTACGGCAGCTCATACTGCTACTTATGACTACACATTCCTTTTGGCTCGATGCGAAGGTAGCCAATGCTCGACTGATATTTGGTTCCGTACCTACACAGCTACTACTACTACTACTACTACTACTACTACTACTACTACTACTACTACGTCGGCTTGCCACAGCATACTCAGAGTTATACATGCACCTCAGACCCCACCCGATCGAATACTCCTCACACACACTATTGACGACACATAACACTCCTCCGGCGACACTTACACTCATCCCCAAGCTCAGCGTGTACCCTCTCCTCAATTCGGCCGCTGATAGCATGTACACGATCTCTCAGGAGACGATTGGACGTGAGAGCCTATAGCGATGATAAAACGATGCAGTTAGTGCGGCAGGCACGTACTTCTGTAGTGACGTTCAGGGCATCGACCATCCTAGCAAACTCTGCGCAGGTAGCATCTACTACAATGGTACCTGGTATAACCAATAATGTGGCTCATATAACCTAGTCAGTTATACACCACTAACAAAGGATGTACATGGGAATATTATGGCGGAGAGGGAGACATCAGATCATACCACACCTCCCACACTTCAAGAAGCACCGATGGCGATAGACCCAGAAGCCACTCACTGTTCCAGTCAACATCATGTCTTCTCGTGGGTACATCCATTACTCTAATATGCTCTTTAACCTGATGACAATGGTCCTACCAGCAGCTGCAGGAGCAGTAAAGACCTACTGGTCCCATCTTAGATGACATCCAACCCTGAACTTGTTTCGAAATCAATGCTCCTCCCATACGGATGATCGTTGGACGACTGAGCTCCAGCATATCCACCACTGCTTGTGAGGACAGACACAGACTTGGCAAGCACTCTCTACGACAACCTGCAGTACAGCAAGGGACATCACGACCCGAGACCCGCGCGACCACCCAGCTTAGGTTTGAGGGAGGTGAGGGAGACAGTTCAACAACAAGCTGGAGCCAGGGGATATTGATTTTTTAAATTGGCGTTAATACCACACCACCGTGAACAGTCCGATTGAGGCCCGTCCTCCTCACTACCACTAAAGACATCGGCTAAGACAAGGCAGTCCAGCTGCTCGGCTATGGTGTCCACAGCTACAGCCTCCATAGGAGATGACAGTGCACCCACAACCACAACTACTGCTCTCGAACCTGACCGCTCAACCTCGTATCACCACTCAGCTCGGGCATAACCCCACATATGAGCTCCTTCACTCTATCTTCATCAATGCTCCGTCTAGGTGGCCGAGCAGTCCTTGTGAGAGGCTCCCTAGACCGCATTTGCCAACGTGTAAATCGGGAGTCTTCCGGAACATGGAAGGCACTCATTTCCTCATATTGTCCTCCTCGAACCTATGCTCGACATCACCGTGCAAACCACAGCAGGCCACCTACCGGTCCCCCCTCAGGCGCTAGATTCTCTCGGAACTGCATATTCAGGTGCACCTGAACATAACATATGATGACTACGATGGATGAAGGATCGGCCTTCCTACCACGCCCTGTTGGCCCAAGCATTGGGCAACAGCATAGTCAGTGTCACTAAGGAGATACCGCACCGGCGCCGACTCGCATGGTGGGGCCACATCACGGGTCCACACTGCGTAGGGCTTGAAGATATCCGTCTGGTTCATCGTCTGATTACTCCTGGATAACAACACCGTCACGCGCCACGAAATTCTCCTCCCAAACGCACCCTGTATCCCGCAGTTCAGCCGGCCTATCTGCCGTCAGTAACAGCATAGGGACATGAGACTCCTGGGCCTCCGTAATGGCCGGAAGCAGATTCGCAACAGCCGAACCTGACCGTGACCAACTCCTAGGAAGTAGGCAATGCCCACACCCTACCACTAGTAACAATGACTGGAGCCGGCAGGCCTGTGGCCTTGGCATAACCAAGAGCATAAAAGGCTGCACCGCGCTCATCAGTGTGGACCTACGAGAATATCACAAAAAAAACTTCGCTCCGCTAGGCCTTCTTCCCTCCAACGTACCACATGCGTGGTTTGAGGATGTTTAGTGACAGCTATGGTCAATGGGGTGGATCGACTACCCGGACACACGACCTGAGCGAAATCAAGCAACTTGCGCATGCGTGCAGATTCCCAGCAACTCACAAAATGTTTTATGCCGAGGCGAACAAGTTCATCCACGAAAACAGCGCACCAGAAAGTATTGAAATTAGGGAACTCGGAAGGGTCATTTAAGGCTGGTCTTACACCTGATGCAAAATGACAAAACATGAAATGCTTCGCTCCGCCAACTACTCCCCTACCATCGGACAACGTCCCAACAAACTGTCGCATCTTCAGACGTATCTCATTCCACTCATCTTCAGGTACCGAACCCTCAATGAGCCCAGCACCAGCCATCACATGTACCTACATCGCCACCACGCTCTCTACGCTCACTATATCGATGGTGAATGCATATTGAGTATATTATTAGATTGCAGTGACACGACTAGTGATAGGTGCCGATCAAGTCTTAACATGTTGTAAGTGTATCCAGGCTCAAGCGACAACCGCCCATGCATGTGTCGTCCCTCCCTCTACCTTCGACCCATGACGGCGTTCGACCAGGGCACTTCTTAGCGATACCGCCAGCTCTCCTCCATTGGACGATACCACACCACAGGGAGCAGCAAAGAAGCCTGCACGCATGCACAAGTGACATAACTTCTCACACCAGCCGACCACACCTCGATCGAAAGGCTCTCTCGCTCTGATAAACGTCATGGCGTCCTTCAGCGGCTTTCCGCCCACCGCAGGCGTTGGATGCAAGTCCCGTACCAGCCACTCTACCACACCATGCCCACTTCGTAAGGAGGCTATCTCATCACCTGACGTCATCATTCTACCACACAAAGCCCGCAAGCCAGAGGGAATTATCTATTGGAGTACAGCCAAGCAACGACCTCCAAAGCTCTCATTGCTGCTACATCATATTCATGACAATTCCGTATGGCCATAAATAGTAAGACACCACTTCAAGGGTGACACGAACCACTCTCTAGATTGTTGCTACTCATTAGATCTAGGGCTCAAATGCTTTCACAGCAATAAGCCACTTTATACACTATCTATACTCAGTGGAATTTCACCCGAGTTATGAGAAACACTAGTGAGAAACATATTTCACGACTGCTACGTAGCGCTAATATCTTGTTTTTCACCGAGTAATACGCCACATCACGTAAAACGAGTGAAACTCCAGTACACAGGATATTAGACTGCTCATCCCCAACACTATCCACCCCTGCCGATCATCATCCTACTCACCATTCGTCCCATCCTCAATGTCTGGCAAGTCCACTGTAGCCTCTAGCATCTGCTTACAATGGACCAACTCCTTCAATCTCAATAGATCCACTCTACTAACGCGGACCTATCAACAGACATTCTTCTACTATTCGACGAGACACTCCGACTTCCTACATTATGAGCTCTCCTGGACAGTATCCCCCGAATATACTTCGTCACAGTACTATGCTCGGTGGAGCGCTTGATGTCAGCCTAAACGGTCCGCAAACATGAGCAACGTTTATCTTGCTGAACAGAATCTGACCTCCTCGTTATTAGTGATCTCCGAGGGTTTCCACGTGCCAGCAACAGCCTCTGTCTCCACATGACCACCCTCCACACGGCACAGCCTCTCTGGTGTGATACATACAAATGCACTTTCGCCATGCGGTGGTTCGATGTAGATGGTCTGAAAGCAGCAGAGGTAAGACCCTACATCACCAAACGTAGGACCGGATGAACCCAGCCCTGACCAAGTTTGTCGATCACACACCGACCCTCCCGAAACAGAGATGAAAGAAACCATACCAATTCCAACGACTAGATACACTCCTGGTTAGCAACGTACAAAGTTAGCAATGTAGAGCCCGGCACGTGAAATGGTGATGTAACGCTGTTTTATCAATACACTCACTAGCCAAACTTTGACAAACCCGATAGCTCTGGAATCCAGGAACTATCCAGGAAGTCTACGAACCCGACCTTTTCCAAAACTTACATAGCGCTTTGTATCTGGTACGGCCTCCACAACGGTGATAAGCCAATCTATGGGGTCCATTGGATAAGCGCCATCTTCAAAACTCAAGGTGGATCGAAGGGAGATGACCTGAATAGAGGTAAGGGGGGAGGAGGAGGACGACGAAAGGGCATGCTACACGCACTCACCACTTTGTCAAGGGAACCATTGCGGAATTTGGAAATTGCAGTATTAACGGTGTTACTATACCTAACAGATAGATTAGCGTAACAGGTTTGCGGCAGCTCTCTAGTCACGCAACCTATCAGACCCGGGTTCGAATCCCAAGAGCATTACTCTTCAAGTGTATTGGCTGATACTATATCTGACGCCAGCGGAGGTAATGGGGCCGGCCCACTGGTGAGGTCACTGAGCCTGCATGGCCACTTGAAGGATGCTATCGTTGATAGGGCTGAATCCAATTAGCAACATGTGATGCCACATCGAATGTACAGGTGGCACTATAGCTGAACAGGTCTATTCCCCAGTACCATGATCAGCCTCCCCCATGAGTAGCTTCCCAGTAGCGTTGTCATATAGCATGTTGGCTGCTACCGTATACGTAGCCTTTGGATATACACCCGACGAGGCTATCTCGAGTCGAGGCAAGACCCAATATCTAATACATCACTATACACATGCTTACCATTACACCTTACTCTTGCGAAGGGTCATGGAAGAAATCACGCCACTCGGCACCGATAGCCCTGTCCTCATCGAAACGACGTCCTGAAGGTTGAATACAGTAGGCCGGGTCGTTGCAAAAAACCTCAGATCAGATGAACTAATGTCGAAGCCAGATCGACCATCATTATGAAAACGAGATTATAAGACATCGAGAAATGGCGCTCTATAAAATATTGAGCCTGCAGGAGTTTATATCGTAACTGTAATTTCGATAGACTGATATAAATTTGGCTCTCTCGAGATACCACAGCTACTCAAACCTCGAAACCCGATGAGGACTAAGGACGAGTCTCCCATGACGAACCTCCAATGTAGCGGACTTTATCGTCTGTACCACTCAGCAGCATAGCACTCAGTGAAGAGGCTATATGGGCCTGACCCCAGCCACCTAGGGCATACGATCCGTCGCGCGCCACGAATAGGGAACCTGAGTGCAGCGGACAAGTGGACGAGGGCCGGTGGGAGGAAGCTTACGTGACTCCCTTCCAAAGCCTTGAAACCTGAGGAGTCTCAAGAAATACTTCGGGAGATGGTCGGCACTTTCCACATGTAAAACAGTGGGACATTCGATTCGGAGTACTCGTACTGAACACATCCTCTTGGCATCAACCAGGGCAACCTATATCCTACTAGAATGGTCTTCTGATGTGTTCGGTACAGAGGCTTGGCCATAGTGCGATATCGCATCCATAACATGTAGACAGGCGACCTGTGTAGACGAACTACGTCCGCAACTGAACCGTGTGGTAGCTTACTTCTGGAGATGGGCAGAAGGGAAGCGTGAGATGAGACTCGGCAACATCCGAGGCATTGGAAGTCATTGGAGTGGTAAAACAGTCCGATTGATAATAGGGCATTCTATCAACCTGCGTAGATAAACCTAGTACTCTTATAGTCGGTCCTCGTTATACGTTCAATCCCCCAGCCGGGGATCGAACTCGGGACCTCGAACGTACGTCGGCGCAAGAATGTCGCGCACGCCCACATATTGGAAGGTTGCATTGCCATGGAGTGGTTCACTATCTCATCACACTATGTGTCACAACTGGTCTCCTTGATAGGTGTATGAGCCGTATCCTCTTACAGTGACCTCACCCTAGAGTGTCGTGTATTGATGTAAATCACTGGTTTCATCTGGCTAGACTAGGGGGACCGTCAAGCATGGGAGGGAGATGCTTGCATCACAAACTCTTTTAATTCGTACTGGCAAACTTTTGGTGGGCTCCATCGTTCTGGGGTAGGGATCGATTGGCTTCAGTACGTTCCCAGTTAACAAGCCATGATCGGGGAACTCGTGAAAGGCCTGGACTACCTCACTTGGGCAGTTCCCGCTGGTGGACCGATCCGCTCAGCATTCGGTCCGGTCGACCCATCAACGATGTTGAATTCAGAACCGAGTCCGTATCCTGATCCGGACAACACGGTAAGCGATCTATCGGGAGGTCCTTGGTTCTATCCCGGCATATTGTGTTTTCCAATCAGGAAGCTCCAGCGAGGTGTCGTACTGGCCAGTCGGCTCGTGTCGAGGGGTTGCCTTGGGCACCATCTGTACGAACTCTCCACGACGTCTTCGCTCATGCCGTGAAAAGGTGATGACCTCTCCCGCTTCCTCCAATAAACCCATCATATGTCTTCCTCAGTCATCCCAACTCCAAGTGTCAAGGCACTCGAGAGCTCCTCCGTTTCGTGGACATGGGGCAGCCGCTACCTGGCAAGGAGTTCGGCAAGACCACATGGCGTAGGCCTCTCTCGGCCATCTCCCTGAGGGGCCTTCCTGAGATTAGGTACCTACCGCCAGGTGAACAGGCGCGTCTTCGCCTTTGGGGCGGGTCTGCGTGGTATTGGTAACAACCCTCAGCCTCACTACGTTGCCGATGTGGACTCCTTGGTGAGACCTATGACTGCTCCGATAGGCTTGATCACTCCTTCTTAGACCGGCGCCATATCTCTGGTCATCTTCGAGGACACCTGTGCAGAGTGGATCACCGCGGCTCTAGGAGCCTGGTCTCAGAATATGATCGTCACTACTATATACGGTAAGGTGGTGGTGGCACCATGAGCAGCATGATACCAGCGGACTTGGTCAGGTACACTAGGACCAGATGCTGTGGCACAGGCCTTCACAGAGGGCCAAGGGACTACTCTATTGTGTAACAGGAAGAACGTGAGGATCCACACTGTGCTTGGCGGAGGCGGACATTGTGGACCTGACAGGTGGCTGGGGTCGTGGCAGCTCGAGAGGACATGCCATCGTTGAGACACATCATCTACACCGATGAAGGAGTTGATGCTAAGGAGAGGATGAGACCCATACAGTTGGCTGGTGGGTTCTGGGCCTATTCTGTATCTTGTGTAGGGACCCTGGTAGATACCCATGGTATCGAGGTCATCAGATTCGAAGATCTGCTTCGACGAGGTCAAAGCTTGGTGAAGGACTACCCTCCAGTGTTGCCTCGGAAGGACAGTATTGCTACTATCATGTATACGTCAGGTACGGCATTAGTGACAATGATGGGACTCATCGATCGCTACAGGTACCACTGGCCACCCTAAGGGTGTCGTCATAAGACATAGCCACGCAGTAGCGTGTATTCGATCGGTACTGCCCCTTGTGCTGGAGCGTCTACCTTCAAACTTCACCCATGTCGCGTAAGGTCCTTCCCTAAGGGGAGTTACTTGATCATTGTTGAGGCTAGGTACCTGCCGTTAGCCCACATATTTGAGTTGGCCGTCCACATTGGGTGCCTCAGCTGTGGTGCTAGCATCGGCTATGCAGACCCAAGTAAGCAAGGCCGACACAGAGTCAGAACACGACGCTGTGCCTTACCCTACTGTAGAGAGCCTAACGTCCACTCTAAGCAAGCCTTGTGGAGCTCTGGAGGAATACAAACCTCATCTGTTCATCGGTGTGCCTAAGATCTTCGACGTCATCATGAAGGGAGCTATCGCGAAGATAGCGCTGGAGCCACGTAAGGCCGACCTCTCTTACTGTTGGGTAGGTATTACTTGTTCAGCTCTCAAAAGAAGCCTCATTAATGCCGCTTTCGAGTCCAAGGCAAAAGCTATTGAGAGTAGCATGCTCGTGTTGTTATAATCACTAGAGTGGAGGGGTCCTTTTTAGATGGTCGATTCACTCCTATTTTCGACCGTCTTGTTTTCTCCAAGTTCGGAGCCCTTCTAGGTGGTCAAGTAAGGTGAGGCTCCATGGTGTACTATAGAAGTGTGTGTCACGCCGCACTGCATAGGATATGCGTATCTGGTGGAGGCCCTCTGTCGGGAGATGTCCAGAGATGGGTCAGGACGGCTTTTGGGTGTCGGGTCATACAAGGCTATGGTCTGACGGAGACTAATGCGGGTGCTACTATACAATTGTAAGGACATATATAGAGTGCGTCAATGATCCCCCTTCCTACAGAATAGACGATCTTCGGACGGGCGTGGTAGGGCCGCCAATCCCGGGTGTTGAGATAAAGCTACGGTCATGTCTCGATGCTAAGGGAGAACCTGAGATCTTGGATCGCCATGGCAAGCCCTATCTGTCGAAGGACAGTCGAGCGGCTAACGGCAAGCGAGTCCTTGGTATGGCTGATGCTCTACTACAGTATGATATATATGTCCTCTACTAGGTCGGGGTGAGGTCCTCATACGTGGACCATGCGTGACGAGTGGTTACTATAAACTGCCAGACAAGACTAAGGAAGCGTAAGAGGCATAATATGTAGCGGAGCGAAGCTCATGGAGTGCAGGTTTAAGCCTGATGGATGGTTCTATTCTGGGGATGTTGGACAGTTCTTGGAGGACGGTAGCCTCCAACTGATCGATAGAGTAAAGAACTTGGTGAAGCTACGGGGTGGCGAGTGAGTACCATAGACGTCCTCGGGGCATGGCCCTTCTATGGGGCGTGTCATAACGTAGGTATATCGCCTTGGAGAACATGGAGTTGGTCTACAGCAGCTCGGCCTTTGTGGATGCCGTTAATGGTGGCATCATGTGCTACGGTGATGGTAAGTGTCGCTATAGACACTCCTCTCGTGCCTCTATGGTGATGTATTCAGGCACCCTGGACAGGCCAGTAGCCATGGTGCAGGTGAATAGGGACAACCTTGAGAAGTGGGCCAACACTAATAACATCCAATACAGCACTTATGAGGAGCTGTTGAGAAAACCTGAGGCCAACAAAGCGGTGAGGAACCTCAACTAGGAGGTGTTGGAATTGAGATGATTCAGGTTTTGGAATCGCTGAGAAAGTGTTGGAAAGTTGGTAAGCTGTCTCCTCTCGAACAACTCTGTGCTATAGTGTTGCTCAGTGATCCATGGACGCCCGAGAACAAGTAAGATACCATTCGTTTCTATGGAAGTCACTGCCTCGTCATCAGATGCCTGACTGCGACTAATAAGCTTTCGCGCCATGGTATTGCTGCTAAACACGAGGAGGTGTTAGAGAACTTGAAGGCACTCGGACGAGAGTAAGTCGGAGAATTTCGGGACGATTTTGGAGTAGTTGCGGCTGTTTGTTCAGTCCCTCGATGCCGATGTCGATACCCACGACCTCCACATCATTTTCGAGGGCCAAGTTATGAGTTCGTCCAGGGTGGTGGAGGTATTTTAGGGTTGTCGTTTCTTAGCAGATTTGCTTTCTTTAATGTTCGTGGTATTTTTATCAAGCCTGGTATTGCTGTTGCGCTATCTAGTCTCCTGCGGTCCGAAAAGACACTGCACGTAAGTATACGAGTGTGGCATCGTATGTGCTGGAGAGGATAGTGCAACGGGGCTCCTGTGTTGGTCTGGTGGTACTGCGCTGATAAAATTGCTGTAGTTTATAAACGCATCGGTTTGTAGTACCCACTGTGTACTGCAGTGAGTTGTGGCGTAGCTGCTTTAATGGTCGGCTACATCATATGGAATTCACCACGTACAGGGCACAGAATTCGGGACGTTGTATCACTTCTGCTCGAGGGTCATCACACTGGAAGCTGAGTAGCAGGGTTCAACCTTGATTCCAGTTATCTCGTTTCGGAGGACAATGCCGCCTCGGCGATCCCTCTCGTATGGACGTTATTCAACGACTTCAATGGTTCCGAGATTGCTATTGTCCTCTCGGTCCTTCGAGGGTGAACGAGTGCGTACCTTGTCCCCATTGAGGGGGAGGCCTAGCACCGAGAGGCTCGTAAGATGATGCTCGAGTTTACTTCACATGGTTGGATGTTCGAAGGCTCTCTTCCTCTGTAAAGTCTAGGACACTCGAAATGCGATAAATGCCCACATATTGCTGAAGCATATAAGTAATATATTATAGTAATCGTTGGAACCAAAAATCCTATTATAGTGTTCTCTTTGAACGATTAGACCTTCTGATAGACTGAGAGTGGCTGTCATACCTCAGTGGTGTACGAATCAATCTCCCGGCTGGTCCAACACAGTTCTATATCAGGCTCGCTGGCGGTCACCGAGAGGCGGGTCGGCGCGCGTTGGTAATGGCCACGTGAGTTCCCCACTTGATCTCGACTTTGGCAGAGAATGGCTGAGGAGACGTAGTCTCATGAGTGGCCAGTTGCTCATGTCTGAGCTCCGTGTCTATAGGCGATGCCAAGAGGGCAAAGAAGAAGATCGAGAAAGAGAAGCGAGCAATGGCCGAATGTGTACGCGGCAATACTTGTCCATGATGGCGGAATGCAACGCACTAATCGTCACAGCATATTTCAAGGGTGGCACGGTGCAAGATGTGAAGTTTGCGAAACAGATCAACAATATAATCATAAAATGAAATAACCCTTCGAAAGGAATATCCGCAAGATGTTATCCTGATCAGCCAATGATTGATCATCGTCTCGGAAGGTATTCTCTCCCGTCCATCGTCCCGGTATTAAACGCAGTGAGAAGATCCTAGGACAGACAGGTCTGCAGTATATTGGCCCAGTAATAAACTTCTGTCTGCTGCCGGCGCATACCATGGTGACCTGTGATCACGCCAGACTGGGCATCGACGCTCCGCTCCAAATCTTGTTAGATGTAGATGGTGTATGGACCATCAGGTTCAAGGTTGGAAAGAGCACGCTGACAAGTACGCAGAGAAACGCAATGATGATAAGCAGCCACGCGAGTAGGGCCGCCGCAGTGCCCTTGGTGAACGGGGGGGGGTCTGCTTGGGAGCGCCGATTATCAGTTGTGATTTCTCTCCGGCTATATCTCGTTACGGTGACAGGAGGGTTGGAAATGCCTCAGAGGCGAGTCAACGATTGTAAGTTCCTTTCTGCGCTTTGCTACGGCTATAACGCGAGCTCAACGAAGCATTGGTGTTTTCAATGAATCAAATCGTGATCATGATGTGCTATGCTCGATGCTGGAGCTGATAGGAGCCGCAAGTGACTTGGAATGGCTACCATATGGGTTACCTGTGCCGAAACTTCGAGGACTGAGTTCTCCAAAGCGGGAGGGCGTTCTGCGGATGAGCTACTTCGATCCTTGCAAGGTATCAAGACGCTCTCGCCAAGCAAGCATTTGAACGGCAGCAGCTTGAGGAACGCAGACGAGGTCATCGTTCGTCTTCTCCCACCGTCAAACGATCCCTCAGAAGGCGATTAGAAAGGCTGTAGGTCTTAGGCCCGCTTATTGTACCTCGAACCTTCGTAGCTGATGAGCCATCGATTGTCCAGGTTTAATCATTCGCTGTCCTAAGGTACGAGGATGCCCGGTCACGCAGACTGAGGCAGCAAGAGTCAGAGGCTAGCGTGGAGCTGCAAGCTAGATCGCTGTCGGAAAGTGGCAAGCTCTGCCCAAAGTCGCGAAAGTTGGCGGAAGCGCGGAAGAAGAGGATATCCGCCCAAAGACGTGCCCAACTAGCGAGGTCGGTGAAACCTTAAAGCCTACTAGTGGCTCACTGGTAGTTTATCAGTGAGCCGCTATAAGGCCCTAATAGCCGCTATCCGTGATATCAATGATATAAGCCTCTATCAGTGATAGACAACAGTCGTCCGAACTGAGCGACCCGTGAGAGCTATTCGACTTTTCGGTTGATAGGCTATCAACGATATAGGTATCAATGATAGCGAATCGCAACTGTGTTCACTGTAGGGCCTTGACGCCGCCGACGAGGCCAGCCGCGAAGAGCACAGTCGAAAAGAAGCGACAAGCTGCCATAGAAAAGATGGACGCTTTCCTCCAGCGCAACGAGTTGGCTTCAGTAGTAAAGAAGGAGCGTGCGCGAAGGAAGTTGAGGTTGCAGGAGTAGGAAGCTTCAAGATTGAAGTTCCATCGTTGATCGTGGGTGGCCATTCTTCTGTCCAGGTTGGCTGAGCTGTCGGAATGCACCTTCCACCCCAATTTATCAACTTCACGGAACTTCCACTGCGAGGTTTGTCCGGTTCCCCTTCATACATCACTTGTTGGTATTCCCATCAGACCGACATGCCTCTGAAGCGAGCTCTAAGCTCACGATCAGCTCGTGGGCAGAGTGTGCATGAACGGCTGTATGAGACGTGGGTCGTTGGAGTCCTACCTCGATGCTGTGGGAGCTCTAGGTGTGCACTTTTGGTAGGGGCATGCTTTACAAGATTAAACGAGAGCAAGTTTATGACAGTGCGAGAGTAGCTAGGGAGAGAGAGGAGCTGAGCTGCTGTAAGGCCGGCATGTCCTACTCATTCCTCCTACCACGTCAGTCCACTCCAATGCATCACCCAATGCCGATGAGTTAAGGTACGTTCAACCCTCTGATCTCGACTCATTATCATCGGATGGAACGATGGCTCGATCCCGGCTATGATAGCGACTCCACATCTGTTGTCAGCCAAACCTCGTTCTCATCACAGAACTCCATGCTAGTATGCATGCTCAGCAAGGATGGGCGCGTGGATGGGTTACTGTCCAACTCCTTTTGTTAGGCCCTCGAAGACGAGGTTCGCACAATGGTGGCTGAGTACTTAGCGTCACGTGGACGGTGCTCAGCTGACTTCTCTCCTCGTGCTTCAAGCAGCTACGACAATGAAGATCTCGCGGGAAGTCGACTCGGGTCGTGATGTGTGTCTCGCATGAGCTTCCACCTAACTGAACTATTTGTTTTGTTCATCTCTCAATAGTGCACAGGGAAGGAATCTCCGAGTAATAGGAGAGGGGTTGTGATACTAGCATGTGAGGGCTTTCTGGGTCGACCGCTACACAGATCGGACTGTTGAGCTGCCCCTGTTGGGTATGATACCTGTTTTTGTCGCCTAGTCAGTGAAACGCAGAGCCTGTAATGCGGTTGTCAATCTAAGCTATAGCGCCACTGTTCGTAGCTGTAGAGAGTCTACGCTCGCTCTTCTCGCACAGCAGGATGTGCTCGAGACACAGTAGGGATGCTACAAGGTTTCAAACTAATACATTCGGTTCCACGATAAGTTTCAAACTGCTGTTTTCAGTGACTTGTGTGAGACCATGTTCGAGTGAGGTATCCGACGATGGGAGCCACTCAAGAGTGGCCGAGCTTTTCTTCAGGGATTTGCATACGGCAAATCGAGTACATGGAAGAGCCGGCCTTCATCGACCCTAGAAGAGCACTGTGTCATCCGATCATGACCCGGCCCTCTTAGACAAACACGGGCCAGATGTATTGACTCGACACCTCGCCTCAATAAAAGGCCACTGGAGCATAGATGACAAACACGATATGGATAAAAAAACCTGAGTGATCCGTCTTCGCGCCGAGACGGCCAAATCCAGATTAAAGACCGCTAGCGTTGTGAACAGTATTGCTGTTGCGTAGTAGGTGTCCGGCCCGGTGAAAAAAGAAACAGTTTCCTTTGACTCTTTGAGTGCGCTACGGGGTCCCCAAGCTTGACGCGCTTGTTTTCTTATGTCTCCCACTAAGACTTGTCCGCCTTTGATTCAGAGGAGGCTCAGGGTTGGGAGAAGGGGGAATGAGAGCGAGGTGTGAAGTATAGGGTCAAAGAAGCGACACAGATGGGATATCTCGTCAGTCAAGCAATAGCTCTTCAACCGCTGCTGGATGCAGAGGCGATAATCACCATACAAACGAATACTGGCAACGATTTGGGAGAAGTACGGTATACGAAGAAACTCTAGGCTCCAAAAATGATGAGAAACATTGCCTGAAACATGCTACCGTCTCGGCGCCAACTGAAGAGCTTCATCATTGGCCTGCAGCCCGGCCATGCCCACCGCTAATCGAACCAGGTTCTGTTTCGTAAACCGTTGCATATCCACGGATGCTCGAGGGCCCCAGCCGAGGGCGAAGCTCTCGAGGACATCAGCCGCATCGACTGGTGATGAGTGCGAGGCGAAGTACCTCCAGCTAGACCGTAAGCTACTTACCATCTTCGCCATACCTACACCACTTTTATCATGTCCGCGGGTTCCTTGACCATTTCATCGTAACAATCAGCGAGGACCTTAGCTCGATCGAGCATTGCTGACCATAGCAGGGTATTGGCAGGTGGTGGACATACTGAGATCGACGCAGCTCATTAGAGCGACACTAAGGAGGCCACCTACAGCCTATCGCATTGAGGGCTCTAGCTAGTGTACCAATGCAGGAAGAACTTAATGTAGTTATCCTCTTCAACAAGAATTTACTATCAGCCCATGCATGGTGACACGCAGCCAAAGATACCATACCATTGGCAGCTAACACCTGAGGGA